AGCCGAAAGGTTGGCAGTTCGAACCCATTCAGAGGAATCTCCGAAAGATAGGCCTGGTGATCTCCTTCTGAAAAGTCACAGCCTTGAAAACCCAATGCAGCAGTTCTATTCTGTACACATGGGGTCGCCATGAGTCTAAACTGACTTGACAGCAACTAACAACAACAACTAAATTAGAGAAGTAGGGCATCATAACTAATCTACCCTCTGTTAAGAGTCACAGAATAACTCACCATTATACCTGTATTTTGAATACTGTCCATCTGAAATAAAGAGTACCAGCTTTATTATAACCACCAATCAACTTAAACTTCCAATACTGTGAATTGTGGTTGTATAAGAAATTAGAATCTCAAGAGTATTTTTTCCCCTACTGTTGTATTTTGCTAAAATACAGAATCAAGAACTAGTGATTTGGGTTTTTCCATGGTGTCTTAGTCATCTAGTGCTGCTATAACAGAAATACCACAAGTGGATGGCTTTAACAAACAGAAGTTTATTCTCTCACAGTCTAGGAGGCCAGAAGTCTGAATTCAGGGTGCCAGTTCCAGGGTAAGGCTTTCTCTCTCTGTCAGTTCTAGAGGAAAGTCTTTGTCGTCAGTCTTACCTGGTTGAGATGCTTCTCAGCACAGGGAACCAAGTCCAAAGGATGCACTATTCTCCTGGCTCTTGTTTCTTGGTTGTATGAGGTCCCCCAGTCTCTCCTTGCTTTTCTCTTTTATATCTCAAAAGGGATTGGTTTAAAACAACCTAATCTTGTAGATTGAGTCTTGCCCCATTAACATGACTGCCGCTAATCCCTCCTCATTAACATCATAGAGATAGGATTTACAACACATAGGAAAATCTTATCAAATGACAAAATGGTAGACAGTCACACAATACTGGCAATCATGGCCTAGCCAAGTTGACAGATACTTTGGTGGAGACAAGTCAGGCCATGACACATGGCATAGTGTTTTCTGCTGAATCATTTGTTCCTTACTAATTGTGTTTAACCTGTTCTAAAATTGTTGTTGTTTCTTGGCTACTTTTATACTTACTGACTCTCTGTTGCACAAATAGGAAAGCAATGATGTTGCTTCTGAGCTTTTTCGTTAGAGATATTCAGTAAGTAGCTGTATCTCACCAAGAAGCATTTTTTAGACTATTCTTCTGTAATTCCAGACCTCCGTGCCCAAGAAAATTCTAGGACCCTGAACATGTGCTCTCTATTCAGTATAAGTAAGAATTTGTCCAGAAAATGATCTAGTAAAACATGTTATAAATTCCTTTTTATTATCAAATCCTTAATTTCATGAGAGTGAATAATATGACAGGTTAAATATCCCATTCAGGTATTAAAAAGATTCTTAGGTTGCTGAAACACTTTTCAGTGATTATTCATGAATATATGTCTACTTCTTTGCCTTTTCGTAGATGAAAATGCTGCCTTTCTTTCTGCTCACAGTTTTACCCATACTGCTTTCTTGAAGCCACTGACTTCCCAAGAATGGTTGATAAGGATGGAATACTAGTGCTTCTCTCTTTTTTGGAATTCTGGGATATAAGTTTTGTCAGAAAACAAAGGGGTACTTGGATACTTTTCTTTAAAATATTAATAATAAGGCCGTCATTTATTTTGGTTGAGTCACTGTGTTGTGATTATCACAAATCTGCAAAGTAGATGTTATTACCCCTGTTTGATATATGAGGCTCAGAGAGATGAAGTAATTTGCCCTGGATACTACTACTTTCACTTTTTCTTCTTTGCAGGAGCTGTTGGTCCTAAAGGACTATCAGTTGTGACATTAGAAACATGGGAAAGAAGTGAAGGTGGTATCAAGATCATAGCCAATTGGCTTGTTGGTAGCAATCTAATACCTTGTTGTTGTTATTAGCCGCAGTCGAGTTGGCTCCCAAATTATGATGACCCCGTGCACAATGGAACGAAACACTACATTGGACCATTATGATCCACAGTGTTTTCATTGGCTGATTTTTCAGAAGTAAATCACCAAGCTTTTCTTCCTAGTCTGTCTTAGTCTGAAAGCTCCACTGAAACCTGTTCAGCATCACGGCAACATGCAAACCTTCACTGACAGACTGGTGGTGGCTGTGCATGAGGTTGCTAGGTTGAGAACCAAACCTGGGTCTCCTGTATAGAAGGCAAGCATTCTACTACTGAACCACCAATACCTGAATCTGAGATCTAAGGGTCCTAAAAATTACAGACTCCAGTGACTGAATTCCACATGGATAGAGTTTTCAAGGCATAATACAATCAACCTCTTAAACTGGGCTAATTGATTTTGGGTTACTTGAGGCCAGGAGCTTTAGTCTTTGGCCTGAATTGAATAATAGTTGTCCTGGTAACCCGGATTCAGATATGGGCTTAAAAAGAAGCTTGAATGGGCCATGTGAAGGCAAAGAAGGTGGATTACTGAATTGTCTTATGATGGAATTATAGGAAAGTATTTACTGGGAAATGAGCTAGACCAGTGGTTCTCCACCCTGGCTTAGTATCAGAATAGCCTGATATCATTGCTGATGTCAGATGGATCTTGGCTGAAAGCAGAGAATACCAGAAAGATGTTTACTTGCATTTTATTGACTATGAAAGGCATTCAGCTGTGTGGATCATAACAAATTTATGGATAACATTGCAAATAATGGGAATTCCAGAACACTTAATTGTACTCATGGAGAACCTGTACATAGATCAAGAGGCAGTCATTCAGACAGAACAAGGGGATACTGCGTGGTTTAAAATAAGGAAAGGTGTGCGTCAGGGTTGTGCAGATGGCACTACCTTGTTTGCTGAAAGAGAAGGGGACTTGAAGCACTTACTGATGAAGATCAAAGACCACAGCCTTCAGTATGGATTACACCTCAACATAAAGAAAACAAAAATCCTCACAACTGGACCAGTAAGTGACATCATGGTAAATGGAGGAATATTGAAGTCGTCAAGAATTTCATTTTACTTGCATCCACAATCAACACCCATGGAAGCAGCAGTCAAGAAATCAACTGACGTATTGCACTGGGAAAATCTGCTGCAAAAGTCCTCTTTAAAGTGTTAAAAAGCAAAGATGTCACTTTGAGGACTAAGGTGTGCCTGACACAAGCCACAATATTTTCATTCACCTCATATGCATGTGAAAACTGCACAATGAATAAGGAAGACTGAAGAAGAATTGATGACTTTGAATTATGGTGGCGGTAAAGAGTATTGAATATACCATGGACTGTCAGAAGAATGAACAAAGGTGTCTTGGAAGAAGTACAGCCAAAATGCTTCTTGGAAGCGAGGATGGTGAGACTTTGTCTCACATACTTTGGACATGTTATTAGGAGGGACCAGTCCATGGAGAAGGACATCATGCTTGGTAAAGTAGAGGGTCAGAAAAAAAGAGGAAGACCCTTGGCAAGACGGATTGATGCAGTGGCTGCAACAATGGGCTCAAACATAGCAATGACTATGAGGATGCACAGGATTAGGCAGTGTTTTGTTCTGTACATAGGGTTGCTATGAGTCGGAACCTACTCGACGGCACCTAACAACAACAACAATATTCGAGCTACAAGAGCAGAGCTTAGTAGTTGCAACAGGGATGGTGTGGCAGTGTGGCGCAAAGCCTAAACTATTTACTGGATGACCCTTTACCCAAAACATTTGCTGATCTGCATTAGACTAGTTAGGGGCCATCCACAGAACTGATCTAGAACTTAAAAAGGAGACATAAGTTGTTGTGGTTTTTGCATTTTCATTTTCTTTGTTTTTTTTTTCCCCCTAGCAAAGGAAGGTTGATGAATCTATAGTAAGTTTGCTTAACAAATCTTTTATCAAACAGGATTGAACTGTATACTTTTTGTTCTTAAAACCCACAAGTACAAAGAACATAATGTCCATAGAATAAGATGATCAAGACTTTTTTTTAAAATACGTTACTGAAGATCTCCTAAATCCCTCTTAATATCTATTTTCTATCACAACCCCACGCCCTCAGTCCATTTTTTGTCTTTCCTCATTCCTCTGTTCCATGTTTTCAATTAATGCCAGCTGGGTGCCTCAGAGCATTTCCTTTCCTTGATTTAATGTTGGAAAAAGAAAACAGTGTTTATAGGAAAGATTTTAATATGAAAAGATAGTTGAAGAAGATTAGGAAAATACCACTGATTGTCATATTGGTTTATTTCTTTTAACCTCTAGTTTTTATCCACTTGAGTTCAGAAAACAAGAAAAGCATTAAGGTTAGGGAAATTAACAGAAAATGGAAAACAACTGGGAAAGAAAAATTCCCTAGCAGCAAGTTGTGTTTTGTATGGAGAAGCAGCCACCATTTGCTTCCAAACCAGCCTGTCCAGTTCAGAATGAATGCACCACTTTAAGCCTTTGTTTATTTTATTCTTACATGTTTTTATAAGCATATGATAATCTCAATCATGAATTTTGAAAAAAATACTGAACATGTATCAGTTGAACCCATTGGAAAAAGTTGTTTTATTTCCAAATAGTTTGTCATTCATCATTGAGTAATAGTTTTCAGTGACCTGAATCTCCTTGTGACACTGCCTGGTGTCTTGGATATTCTGAGAGAGGCCACATTCATATTCATGTGTTCTGTCCTTCCCCCATCACAGTGAAGTAGCTGCAGTCCCCGGCATATTTCTCCTATAGCCACCTGGAAAGAAGCCAGTAATGTCATTACAGATGGCAATGTGCCCAGACTACCTTAAAACAGCATAGTTTCTGCCACTTATTATGTTTCAAGAAGGGTGATGTTTGCTTTTACACTAACACGCATTTTGAAAAGGCTGAAGGCAGATATGTTAGAAGCAACGTTCTTATTCCTGAGAGTTCGTGGTTAAATTAGTTGCCCCTTAGCTTCACCTCTCCTAAGTTTGGAACACTGTCTGCTGGAGGATGGATGGTTTAGGAAGGAAAAAACTAGGTAATGCTTGTATGTTTTGTATCTCATACCGGGGCCTCAATTTATTTTCCTTTGCTTTTTTAGGGTTCTGTACATTGGCCTGGCCTGCAATACAGCTCGCTATATATATATTTCCTACCTGGAAAATGCCTGGACTGTTCTCCCCATGGAAGTTCTTCAAGGTACATTAACAGCTGGAATTGGAATAATTTCTCTCCTGAGTTATGACTGTGTCCTTTGGTATCTGATTCTACAAAGGAAGGGTGGATCTACTGTTTTATGTGATTTTGAAGTGGTTGTTAAGGAAGAGGTGATGTCACCAGGGCTGGTTCTTCAGTTACCCTGAGTTACCCTGTTCTGTGTTTGTTGAGGTAGACGAAGCTGGGTTTGACCCACACCCTTTTGATTAAACAAAGAAAGAGGAACTCTAGGATAAACTCCTATGACAGTTGTTAGGCATACAGATTCAAAGGTGGTTTTTATATATTAAATTATATACTTAAAGGTTTTGGTGTTTTGTAGGTTAACTATGCTATTAGAAAAATATTGTTCTCATAATTATATATTTAATTATTTGTATCACACTTGGTTATTTATAGCTAAAGCTTTATTGGCAGGCTGTTGTTTTCCCATGAACCTTTAAATCTTTGCTGAAATATCTTTCATTCTCATTTAAGTCTATGAATTTCTTTATTCCATTCTTAATTTTTTCTATAACCCACTAGTTTTTGAGCAAGGTGGTGTTCAGTTCCCATGTATTTAATTTTTTTCCCTTGCTTTTTCTGTTATTGATTTCTACTTTTATGGATTTATGGTCAGAAAAGATGCTTTGTAATATTTCAATTCTTTGGCTTTTATTAAGGCTTGCTTTATGGCCTAATATGTGGTCTATTCTGGAGAATGTTCCATGCACGTTGGAAAAGAAAGTATACTTGGCTGCTGTTGGTTGGAGTGTTCGGTATACGTCTATGAGATCAAGTTGGTTGATTGTAGCATTTAGATCTTCTGTGTCTTTGTTGAGTCTCTTTGCCGGATGTTCCGTCCTTCACCGAAAGTGGTGTGTTGAAGTCTCCTACTACTATTGTAGAGCTGTCTATCTCTCTTTTCATTGCTGTTAGAGTTTGTTTTATGTATTTTGGAGCCCTGTCATTGGGTGCGTAGATATTTATTATAGTTATGTCCTGGTGTATTGACCCTTTAATCATTATATAGTGTTCTTATTTATCCTTTGTGGTGGATTTTACTTTAAAGTCTATTTTGTCAGAGATTAATATTGACACTCCTGCTCTTTTTTGAGTGTTGTTTGCTTGATATATTTTTTTCCATCCTTTGAGTTTTAATTTGTTTGTGTCTT